ACTTGGCGAACGGTCTTTCCCACGTATACATTTTAATCACTTGAACTCCTGATATTATCTCATTCATCAATCTTACTCTTATATCAGTACTTTGCGCTGTTTTTAAACGTAATCCAGCATTTTTTTTCGCTGCTAAAACTAAAATCAATCGATATTATTATTAAAAATACATTCTTATTATTTCTATAGGTATTCTTACTCTGAATAGGTGTTAAAAACAATAAAAACCCAATTCCTAAGAAACATACTGATCCCATCTTTGTGTATAGATAACTCATAACTGTGATGGTAGCAATCGGAGCAATCCATATATAATGCAAACAATGGAAACCCATTTCAAATCGACTTGCATCACCCGTCATTAAGTTAACCACATGACCGACGGAAATTTTATGCATTGAATTTTTATTGAATTGCAGGATTTTTCTGTAGATAAGTCCGCTGCAAGAGATGCGCATCTTCATCGTCATGTGTTGCAGCCAGAACATAACCGAATGAGCAATTAGTTTTTCCACGGCCAAATAGGCAATTAAGGTCGTTGCATATAGGTAAGCTTCTGTGAGTGTAATCTCTTCATTGGTGTGAGAAAAATAAGTAACTAATCGTCCAATTGAGACGGGAATAAGTAATCTAAAAAAATATCCATGTGTTAAAAAGAATAAAATTGTTAAATTAGTGTTTTTACTTACATCCTTGAAAATTCTTTGATAAATAATAAAATACCAGTTGTACAGATTGGTACACCAAATATTTTAAATAGTGCTATGTGTAGTGTGTATTTTTTATGTTTTTTATTTGCTTGTTTCCAAGCATTTTCCAATGAATCAGTTAAACGCTCCGAATCATCTTCTTTCAGTACTTCATAAAGATCGTTTTTTGTAAAACCATGTTTATATGATTTATAGAGCACAGGAATTATATATCTATAATTTAGAAATAAATTATTATGTTATTCATTAAAAATAAATATAATATACTTACAGAAGCAATAATTTTGAGATAATATTTGTTCTAGCTCGTGGATTTCGTCTGTGCTCGCATTTTTCTTCTTTTTCCATAATTTAATTCAAGTTAATTTTAATTGTTTTGAAGTAATCCGCTAAATATTATTGATAGTTTGTACTTTAACGAACGCTTGTTTAGCACTGATGTGGTGGGATATGGCAATGAACCACGCATGCACGTTAACTTCCACCAAGGTGGGAGATACAACTACAAATCCATTCAATCGTTATAAATGCATTAGAAGCGATTTTGTGAACCTACAATATTGCGCAACTTCTCGTGCGATATAACTGCTCGCTTTGCTATGATTATGGTGGGATAATTGTAAATTATGACATGTTCTGTGTTTATTT